ACTGGACACTCACCACTTCTATGTTCATCATAGGTTTCCTACTGAAAATCCCTGTTTCTCTGTCTTAGGGCTTTCACTGACTATAGGAACTTACTCAGACCTGATATGGCAGGCTGGAAGAGCCAGAGAATTAGCAACTCTGGCAGCGATTCCAACTAATGACAGACACTTATCCCAGCTCCTCGGCCTTCAGGTGGGATGAATCTAAGGCATGAGCAGCAGAGTGAGCTCCGGAGGTCCCCAGCGGTTCTGAACACCAGTTGCCTACAGCTATAACCCATTCACTGATACATCCTGTACCGGCTTTCTTCTCTTCCCGGTCTCACTTCCCCATGCCACTGCCTTCCTGAGATCACCTCCACATGAACTGTCAATACTTGGACACAAAATTTTGTCTCAGCTATTCTGTCAAGATTTCCAAGAAATCTTGTAACCATGAGGATGAATGCCACATGCTAGGGATAAGAAGGGCTTAAGAACTGAGTCTTTGAGCCCCTGCACTAGCCTTAGACTCTCTGGACTTGAAAAAATTTAAATCTCTCATTTAGGAAACCACCATAATCAGGTTCTATGCATGCAATTTTTCTATGCATCTCTATGCAATTTTGAGAGGTGCAAAGTTTTTAGTTGACTTCATATACACCCTATCATCAGCTGGACGTGGCTGCTAACAAAGCTGATGCTGGCTGCACCGTTGGTCCCTTACACTGTATGATGTCACAGCTAACACAATGTTTAACAGATTGCAATATTCAAATCTCCTCTTAATTCTGTGAGATGGGTATCGTCAACTCCCTTTTACTGAAGCCCAGAGAAGCTGTTACTTGACTGTAGTTATAAGGCTAGTGGTGGAATTAAGATTTCAATTGGCCCAGTCTACATGGCACAGTTGGTAGCATACTGAACTGCAGTGCTGGAAGCCAGATGGCTGACTACTGGTTCAGATACTCAGCCCAGCTGATTTGAAACATGCCTGATGTGCATGTGTGTGCCCAGCATTTCAACAAGCTAGAAGACTGGAGGAAGAGGACTGTGTGGGTGTTTCCCTCTTATGTGTGTGTATTTGTACCATCACGAATGAAAAAAAAAAAAAAGATTTCAAGTCCAGTGATTCTTTATACCACGGGGAGGGAGGGGCTGGATTTGCTTTCCATGGAGTATCAAAGCAATGAAGTACACCTCCCAACTTTTCCCTTTGCCTTTCCATGCCTTTTCCATGCTTGTTCCCTATCACTACCTTTCACTCCAAGAGACTGCAGACTTTTATTTCTACCACAGTTACACTCCTGCCTGCCAAATCTCTTCATAAACTTTACACACTCATCACATGCTCTCGGAAACATGTACTGAATCCTCTTATCTCTAGGCCTTTGCCAGGAATGCTTTACATAAGTGGGAAACTGCTGTATTTGGGCCTGGGGAGAACAGTCTGGTATCTGCAAGTTTGTTGTGGGCAGAATACCCACTTCAGTATGGCTCACAGAATCAAAAACATATAGATGCTGAATAAATATTTATAAGGTTGAAGTGGGTAGCCACATGGAATCCAAGTTTAGTTCAAAAAAAAAGCTGAAAATCATTAACATCACATTCCAACACACATGAAAATGAACTCTACAGATTTCGGACGAACAAAATGCACTTTTCCTAACATTAAATAAACTACACAAATACATTTATAAAACAAAAAGGCCAAAATTATAATGTGTGTACTTATTATAATCATGATCTAAACATCATCTGAATCATATCAAGTAATACTAATTTGCTTTTGTAAAATATGTTAATGAGCACCTAGGAGTTTCTACACAAGACTAAGCATTTTTAACATTCCCTGCCCAGGTGAGAAAAGAGTATATCATTTTCCTACAGGTGATTTAGGAAATATACTTGCATCACAACTGCTGGTGTGTGGACACAAGGCTATCAGCCATGACTGGCGGGGCTCTAGAAAACAAGCATGAGGTGCTTCTGTGCCACTCTGAGATGCCAGAGACAAATTCTGATCTATGATGAAACCATACACAGGGTGTGGAAACCATACACAGGGTGTGGACCAAGTGACTCACTGTGGCAGGATCAAAGGGAAAACAGTGTACAGAGAGTGCTCTTAAGTGTGACAATGAAGCCAGGAGCCTTCTTGGAACCATTCTAGGTCAGCAACTCCCAAGACATTTGTATCAAAGTAGTTAGTAAAAAACATAAATGCTCGGGAACCAGCAGTTAGCGTAATGGCTATGTCGCTGGACTCCCACGTAGTCGACCGCGGTTCGTGTCCCGGACCCGGTGACTTAAAACTCGTGCCAGGCGCGTGTGCGTGCATGCCCAAGATCCCGAGAGGAGAATGGAGGAGAAGGGATTGCGGCGTGACCTTCCCCCCTGGGGGGTGATTTCTCGCTTTCTGTCTCTATGTCTCTCTGTCTGTCTGGCGAGCGCACGCGCCCTACAGTGAAAATCTCTCCAAAAAAAAAAAAAAAAAAAAGAAAAAACATAAATGCTCAATGTCCTTGACTCAAGAATGAAACCATCGTAACAGATGCAACTTTGAGAATAAGTCATTATCAAACCAATTATAAACTCAAGTGAGGCATTAACTTAAAAGATGTTCATTTTATTTCAACTGGTAAGGAATCTATAAAGATGTTTAAGTGTATGTCGGCTTTTGATAAATTTATTTCACAAAGCTACTATTTTATAAGGGCAAGAGGGTTCATTAAGTCACAATACAAGACAAAATTTACAAATGAGATGACAGACTATTATAAATACATTAGTTAGGTAAAGGCATTTTTCATTAATATAAAATCCAGTGAAACAAAAAGTTATACACTACTGTTATTGTCAGAAGACCTTTAGACTTCAGTTTAAGTTCAAAAGGTTAAGGGATGTTTAGGAAAAGATAACATAATATGGTTAATTATATATGAAGAATATTTGATTAGAAACAGAGAATAAGTATTTTCTTTCTCCTGAAAACCAGCTTTACAAAATACCAACTCTAATTAAATTTTGACCTACTTTATCAATGGCACTGTAATCTGGTCACTATATTAGGTGATATTATTTTTCTAAAATAATTTATCTGGGATACACTGGAGTAGCCTGCATTGAGTTATTATATAGTACTGTGCAAACTTAGATTTTATAAGTATTTCCTATATTTTTCCAAAGTTCTGTTTCCCAGGACTCTGATTATTAAATATGTCCACCTTAGGGTTCCAGAAACAAATGTCCCTTATGGGAACACACAAGGTGAAATCATTTATTCTCTTTAATGTACAAGCTTCATTCTAAGGAATGATCCCAATCCTGTTGAGACAGAGTTGAGATACTGTCTGAAGATCTGAGGGTTGTTTGGGAATCAGCCTTAGACCAACGATTGAAAAATTTCCACTTTTTGTAGAGAAACACTGTGGGAAGGGAAAAAGTGTCCTACAATCTAGGATATGTTCAAGAGCCCTTGCTCTCACAGCAAATGTATGAAGAGTGTTCTGTAAAGAAATACAGGTCTCTGAGCCAAGGCAAGCGTTGGCTAGATGACTGGTAGCTTTTGTTTAGTTCTGGAGGTTTCCATGGAAACAGCCTGAGACAGAAAAGGCAGCATTATCGTCTCTATCCATACTGCCATCAGATAAAACTGTACATTGATTTATTCATGTTATCCAGAGCAGATGTATTACTTCTGATAAGCTTGGATAAAGGGAGGCATGAGTTCTGTAGGTCACACTTTGAATTTCCTGTCTTCCTTCCTGTTTGAAACCTTGAATTAAAACCCTGATAAAACCTACAGACATTTCCCTCAGGAGCCTCTAGTTCAAGTAATGCTTCAATTATCAGAAGCCAAATGAAGGAATGTGAAGCACCAAATGGAGCTCCACTGCCAAGTTCTTAAAATTATATGGCACCAAGCTTCTTGTCGGCAGAAGAATCACTTTATAGGGTATTTACAATTCCATTATATCAGACAACAGCCAGGCAAGAAAGCCATCTTAAGTTTATTTGACATAGTTGAACTGGGTAGCATCAGACATGATTGTTCTATATTTTCACTTGTGTGTATGTATTTCTATATGTGTATGTGTGTGTGAGTATACGTGTGTGTGTGTATAAACACACTACACACCACTATCTAATGTTATTTAAGGTTAGTACTTCTCAGAAAGGCCACAAAAGCAGCCCTAATTCAGAATTATGTATCTGAAGTACACAAAAAAAAATCCTCAACAATAAAATATAAACAAAACAGAGAAGACAAGTTGGCATGCAACCTTTAGCACCATATTTAAGACCACGGAGGGCAAGAGTCTGGTTGACAGAGGTCTAAAGAACAGTTCTGCATTTTCTCCTAGAATGGGATCCCAAACATTGAATCCACTTGTAGAGTCCAGTACTTTTAAGAGAAAGCCTGAGAAATTCTATTAACAGAAATAACAAAATCCATGATTTACTGGGGGCAGACAATTTGACATTGCTTCCTACTCTAAAAGCAGTGAAGATGTTAGTGAAGATATTATTCCTTAGGAACAAATTACTCACTTTGGGAGATCATTTGGGAAATCACTGCTAGCCTCAATGAACTAAATGATGTCTCAGTAAGTTAAAAAGACATGATATACTCCCAAGAAGGACTAATTCACTCATGGAAAGTAGTTTACTAATGAGCAGCCATTATCTGTGTAATATAGACAGGTGCTACAATGAAACGATTCAGCTTAGCACATATAATCATAGGCTCCACAAGGTAAAACATCTAAAAAACATCCACACCTCTGTGCATTATGGCACTGGTGTGAAAAGCTAGATCACAGAGCAGTCTTGGCTTGGTCCTTTCCAAAAAAAGAGACTAAAAATCTGAGGGCCAGCTGGTGGCATGGGGGTTGTGGCAGCTGGAGCTCACATGGCCAACTGTGTGGTTTGAGTCCTGGACCCACCAGCTTGAAAAGCAGCTGGTGTATGTTCATATGTGCCCAAAAATCCCCAGAGAAGAAAAGGAGAAGACTATAGTATACCATATCCCACTTTCCCTCTCTGGAGAGTACATATGCTCTCTAGAGAAATTAGGAAAAAAAAAAAATCTAAGGAAAGGTTTCCTCAGAGATGCACTGAAGATTTTGGTGTTTTAATGATTCCAAGTAAGAAGTTACAGGGCTGGAAACAAGCAGATCTCATCTTATGCAAATCCTTTATCTTATTGCTGGGAAAACGGAATCCTCAAAGTAAGCATCGGATCTAACCAATGGAAGAACTGTGATTGGAAGAGAAACAATGGGATTCTCAGTTAAGTACTTTTCCTATCACATTCTCTCAGGATCCTTTAAATCTTAACATGCATCATTTAATCAAGCTCAAGGAAAATGACTGAGAAATATCAGATAGGAAAAACACTGCATTTTTTTACAAAGATTTTGGCAATTCATGTTCTGATGTGCTTACTATTAACAAAGCCAGTCATCTTTTGGTGATAATATTTCCTCCAAGAAACAATTCCCTTTTCTGAGAGTTGTTTCTGTAGGTACTGGGGTAGCTCACAGCTGACAGTTTCCATATGCCCCATCTTTGCAGGTACAATTAGATTCAACAGATCCTGTATCGTCTGGTGGGCTAAAATGACTACTGTCTTGAGAATCTGTTTCAATACTCTTGGTCTCTGACTGAAGGTGGACAGAAACCTGGACTGCTATCTCCTGGCCTTGTTCATTCAGAGAACCATCATCTGAATCTCCTTCTGGTGAATTACTCCGCCCTATCTCTGGGTTAATGACATAGATGCCACCTTGAGCATTCAAGGCAGGTCTCTCTTTAATTCTTTCTCCCATGTCATCAGGGTCATCCACTCGGACAGCTTCAAACATCTCCTCAACAAAGGCCCGACAGTTTAGAATAAGGGGCGGAAGAGGAACACTTCTCGCCAGTTCTTCGATATATCGAGCGAACTCCATGGTCTTAAATTGCGTGACTTTAGCAAGCTCCAGAGTCTTGGCTGAGGTAATGATAGGAATGCGTTTTGCGATCTCAAAGGCCTTTTGTAGTTTCTCAGCCCCTTCAGTTCTGAAGAATTCATTGATGGCTTTCTCAGTTTTGCGAAGATGGCTGCTCATCATGCATAGCCGTGTGACATTCAAAATGAGAGTGATTGTAAAGGCAATCAGGCAAACAATCATGTAGTAGACACTCATGTCTCCTGAGGTGAAGATAACACGTAGGGTGACAGAGTAGGAGTCACGAATCGGAGAAGTGACGAAACATGTATAGAGTCCACGGTCATCAAAGGCTATCTTGGTGATATTTAGGAAGTTATTAGAAACCAACCATTTTCCACCTGATAATCCAACAGAAATGAACAAAATTATAGCAAAAGACTATTACCACTAAATATGCCAACTGCCTATCAGTGTCCCTTGGCTTCATGAAATGTACTTGAATTCAACTCATCGGCTGGATTCTATTATTCACTTAAATAATGTAACAAAACAAAACAAAACAAAAGGGGGCATATTAATATGTCCAGAGTCAGAATTTAATTAGGCTAGAACTTAAAAAAGGAAATCAAGATCTTCTTTCCTGACGCTAATAATTACCACAGCTCCCTTTTCATCGCTAGACATGTGAAGTCTTTTAGGGAAATAGGTTATGACTACATAATTCTAACTGGCTACAGTAATCTTATAAAAAAGCTTATTTGTGTATATCATATTAGAAGGGCATACCTCAGACATAAAACAATGGTTATTTCTGAGGTGATGGATTGTGGGTAATTTTTCTTTTTATTCAACTGTGTTCACTCATTTTCTATAATGAACATAAAAACATATAAAAAGTTTTTTTTTTTTAATTGCTAGAGGATGTGTGTGCTCATTAGAGAGAGAAAAAGAGAGAGGAGAGGTAGAAAGCATTCCACGATGGTAATTGCTAGAGGATGTTTGTGCTCATTAGAGAGAGAGAGAGAGAAAGAGAGGAGAGGTAGAAAGCATTCCACGATGGGGCAATGGTTACCCTGAAATCCTTTCTCCTCCATTTCTCTATCCTGTCAGGATTTTGGGGGTATATGCACATGTGCCTCATGTTTTTCGAGCCTCTGGAGTCAGAACTCAAACTGCATGGCTGGTCTGGAATCTGGCTCCCTTAATCACCAGGCCATGGGACTGGCCCCAAGTTATTTTTAAAAAACCCCAAAAAACTAACAAGTTAATATTTATTTGTTCACTTACTAACTAGCTAATCTGCATTGCCTTGAATAGACTAATTTGTTTTGTTAGGAAAGGTTTGTTGATGATAATACCTTGACTTTCCTGGCAAGGGTAACTAAAGCTCAAGCCGAAAGACACATCTCACAATTCAGGGTAAAATAACAACTTGGCAAAGAGAATAAAGTTGTCCTTAAATTGCCTGAGTTTCTGTTTTAATCCTAAAACATGCTGCTGCTCTTCCACACATTCAAGTATCTTTACTTAGGGAACACATATACAAAACGCACAAGTGTATGAGAGCGTATCATACTGACCACCCACCTAGATTTAACACCCTTCCGTAACTTGGCTCTGCCTGCACAATTCCCACTTTTGTGGTCAATTTCTTGAGTACTCTGTGCTTTATGAAAGATGGGATGGATGGGCTAACCTGAGTATGTGTCCCAATGACTAAAGGTGGTGTCCCAGGGGAGGCTTGATGGCTGCCTGTGATTAAGCATCATCTGAGTCCCTAATATGCAGTCTCTTTCACTTCAGAGATTCTGGATGATTTTAATGGTACAAAAATTGGTAAACACACTGGACTGTGCCCATTTTTATAATCATCAAACTTAATATCTAAAGATATAAATTGCTGTTTTATTTATAAAAGCCATCACTTCACTAATGTTAAGAAAAAAAAAAAGGGAGTAAAGTATTTAGCTACGAATATAGCCATCCTTCCATAAGTTTCTGTTGTATGAATTTGGAACTCTGAAAAGGACACCCTTTAAATCCAAAGTAGAATGAATTATTGGGTCATTGGAAAAGCCATGACGTATTTTTCTGTTTTTCTATGCAAAAATGCATTATGACTTTTCCTATGACCCAATGCAGACTCCATTCATCAACTACTGCACTATAGCGACAATCTAAACTCTCAAGCTCACTTGCTGATAATAGCTCAAGATTTATGAACCTTATACAAGACTGACATGCTTTTTAAACTCCTCTCACTTGAGATTCATAAAATTTAATACAATTTTCCAGAGCTGCTGCTGAGAGCATCAATGATAAATGTTAGTGGTTTTCAAAGTTAAGGCAAGATAGGAAAATAAAACTGCCATTCCACTTGGCTGGTCTTGTCCTAACCTAAGGATTTGTTTATGCAGTCAGTCTAGAATGATCACACCAACTGGATAATTCAAATCTCAGATGTGTTTAGTCAGGATATCCTAGAACCCAGAAGAGACAGAAGTCTAGTTCAGTGGGTCCAAATACAGAACCCCAAAATATATACTCTGCATACCTCTCTAGAGATTCTGAATGAATAATAGGTCTTTTTTTAACAAGCTGATTAAAAATACTGTTCTTTTTGAGGCCAGCAGATAGCGCAATGGCAATGTCGCTGGACTTCCATGTAGTCGACCGTGGTCTGAGTCCCAGACCTAGTGGCTTAAACTCACGCCAGGTGCGTGTGCATGCATGCCCAAGATCCCTATGGCCATTGTCCATGGGGACTGCTTTTTCACTTTCCCTCTCTCATTCTGTTTGTCTCTGACAAGTACTATAGCAAAAAGTTAAAAAAAAAAAAAAAGGGAAAAAAATAAACTGGAATGGCTTATTGAATTTCATAGTGCCTTTCTAATTTTCAGACAGACTCAAAAGAGTAATATATAGATTTAGACTCATATTTTTAAAAAAAGTCCTGGGTTTCCTTTAATATTTATTTCAGAGCACAATTAAAAAAAATTCCTAAGAACTTTTCTTAACTCTAGTCCAAACCCTTCTTGATGCATTAACACAGGGCCACCACACTGTACTATTCACATTGCAGTCGAGGTGAACGGCGCCGCTGGACTTGTGCAATATGCACAGCTGCACGGGGTAGTCCTGAGGCAGTCTACCTTCATAGAGGAAGGAAATCAATTCATTAAGAGGAGAGAAAAGAGTTCACTGTCATGTGAACACCTTTTAAACTATTACAACTATTCACGGTGTGTACTATACACACACCGTTCAGGCATCTTGTTAAATATGTCATAAAACTAAGAAGATAGAACCAATAGGAAATGAGTAACCTTGATTAATTATTCCCTGACAGTTACCTCTGCCTCTGCTATCCAGCTGCTGTCCTTTTGAGTTGTACCAGTGCACATCTTCATAGTGATCGACTGCAAGAAGACACTCAATTGAAACACTAGTTCCCTCTTTGGCTATGATGACATCATCACCTGATTGGGAACCTGCTGAGCGTTCAAAGATTGAGGGAAATGATGCATTGTAAGAACTATGATTTGCTCCCAGTGGGGCTGTTTGATTGAAGTCCACATCTTTTAGAACAAAAGCAGTTGGGACAATAACGCTGACCACTAAAATGAATAAACAACAATGTGGCTTCATGGGAAAAGGGAAGAAAATCTTTAGATCTGGAGAACTCAAAAGCTTCTATGCTATCACAAGAGCACAATGGGTGATTTATTGCTTGGTATAGAAAATTTCCCAAAAAGTCGTAGATCCAGGTGTATTTTGAGTCTTCAAGTTTAAGACTTGAGTGGAGACCAACCTGAAAGAAAGTCAGAAATAAACTTTAACCAACTGAGACTCGTCATAGGGTGCAACTCTGTGTATTTCAGAAATGAATAGATACAAAATTGATTAGAATAATTGGTGTGCACATCAGGGAGTGATTATGTACAATACGACCTAAAAAATCTCAGAGGTGACAGAAAAAGCACTGAATCGGAAAATGGCAGACCTAAATTCTGGTCGAAGCTTCACTCCTAACTAGCTGTACAACTGTGGCAAGAAGGCATTCTCTCTGGGATTCTGCTTTCCCATTTGTCAAATGAGGAATGGATGAGATAATCTCTAAGGACTCTTTCAGTTCTGAAATGCTATGATTCTATTTCACTCTGACAAATTCTATGCAACAGGGAGCCAATGAAGGCTAAAATATTTAGCTTAATGATCTTTTATTTCAACCTGCAGCATTACCATCTGTTGTTATATCAATAATGTAAATCAACTGGTATATCATAATCATAACTGTGGAGCTCAAAATTTGAGTAACTCAAGTACATAGATACATTAGATATAAATAATGCAGAGACACTTGGGGTAGCGTTTTTTTTTTTTTAATATTAGAAAGACAACTCCACTTACTGCATATACATAAATAGTGTTACTGACTTCTGAAGCTATAGAACCTGGGTAAGAATGCTGGACAAAAAAAAAAAATGTTCTTGGGAACCAGCAGTTAGCGTAATGGCTATGTCGCTGGACTCCCACATAGTCGACCGCGGTTCGTGTCCCGGACCCGGGGACTTAAAACTCACGCCGGGCGCGTGTGCGTGCGTGCCCAAGATCCCGAGAGGAGAATGGAGGAGAAGGGATTGCGGCGTGACCATCCCCCCTCGGGGGTGATTTCTCGCTTTCTGTCTCTATGTCTCTCTCTGTCTGTCTGGCGAGCGCACGCGCCCTACAGTGAAAATCTCTCAAAAAAAAAAAAAATAAGAGAAAGAAAAAAAAATGTTCTTCTAATAATTTCTCCAATATCAAGAGACAAAACACAGTATATTTAACAGTTTAATATACTGTTAATATTTAATACCAAATTTCTAGCTCAATGTATAAAATTAACGAGAGGAAGGATTTCTATCTGGTAGAAAGGCAAGTATAAAACTACGGAGAACAACTGTTAGACAAATTTAAAAGAGCAAAATGTCATGAATAAAAAGCAAAATAGCATCTCAGTCTGAGTCTATATATTTATGATCATTTTCCTGGTAATTTGATTCACCTTTTAAACCACTGACTCTCAAAGAAAAATTCAACTTTGCTTTTATAAAACGTGGGATGAAATGCCTAGCTTTATTTCTTGCAAAGGCCCAAGATAATTAGTTTTGAAAATGACATTTACTCTCTTTTATAGTTACATGAAGGCTGCTTGATCACAGAACATAAAAAGCAATGGATCATTGTACATGCCATTAAACTCCTCAAAGTCTGAATTACAATAAGTTGTAAATGTCATTTAATTTTCATTAGCCTTTGAAAGGATGGTTGGATATGACAAATATTTTTTTTCAAATCTTTAAAACCTAAGGATGGACTATACAAAATAAAACAAAAAAGTTCAGACTTTGGCTATACATGATAGATTGTACATATATATTTATTTCCATTTCTTAAGACCCCACTAAAATGACACTTAAAAAAACAAAGACTTGGGCACTGTAGGGGATTTTAAAAATTATCTAACCTATTCACTTCACGGTGACTTGTTCATTAATATTAGGATAGAAGTACTTGGTTGTATGCTAGTTCTATTTGTGTTTTTGAGGGATCTCCATATTCTCTACAGTGGCTGTACTAATTTACATTCCCCACCATCATTGTAGGAGGGCTCCCTATTCACGCATCCTTGCCAGCACTTATCATTCTTTATTTTTTTAATCTTAGCCATTCTGACTGGGGTTAAGTGGTATCCATTTTGCTTTTGATTTGCATCTCCCTTATGATAAGATATACAGAGCATTTTTTAAAAAATATGCTTTTGGCTATTCATATGTTTTCTTTGGAGAGTTGTCTGTTTAGTTCATTTGTCTACCTTTTAATTGGATTTTTTTGTGTGGGTAATCTGAATTCCCTGTATATTCTGGTTATTGGTCCCTTATTTAAGGCATAGTTTGCAAATATCTCTCCCATTCGGAGGGTTGTCTCTTCACTCTAATAATTATTTCTTTTGCTGTGCCAGACAGTAGGTCGGAATATGAAAGACAGGCACTGTATGTCCCCACTTAATAGAACACATACTGAACGTCTGCATGCTATAGCAGAAATGGAAAGACTGGAAGATATAACAGCAGGGAGGGCAACTGTAGATAACAGAGATAGTATAGGAAAGGGTGGGTAATTGGGGGTGGGAGTAGGGGATCAGGGAAAAAAATAAACAAACACACAAATTAAAAGTTATCTGCTAAGGGGAAAGCAAGTGGCATGGTGGTCAAGAACACTAGACTCTTACATGGCTGACCGCGGTTTGAGTTCTAGACTCGATGACTTGCTTTCTCACTTCCTCCCTCTCTTGCTTGCTCTGTCCCTCTCTGTCAAATTTATTTACTTAAAAGTAAATAAAGTTAAATAAAATAATTCTTTTTAAAAAGTTATCTGCTGATGACAATATATATGGTAATATTTTGACTCAACTAATGTGCACTATATTATGCTGGGAAAAACCATGTTGGACATTGTAAAGATGTGTAGTAATTAAATGTAAATTTTAAAAAATATAAAAAAAAGTAAATAATTATTTAAAGAATAAACTTAAAAAAATGATTAAAAGAGTACGATTATGCTAGAAGTTAGTAGGAGAATCTATGTTAGAATGGGGTCTCTCTCTCTTTATTTAGGAAGGGGTGATGGGTGGAAACAAAAGAAATAACATCTGTTAAACAGTGGTTATAAACCAATCATAGTGCTACTTGATATGTAAGCTCTCAAGTTCTTTTTTTTTAACTACAAGATAAGTAACAATTGGCAGACATAAATGGTTATAAACCAAGCACAGTGCTACTTGATATGTAAGCTCTCTATTTTTTTTTTACTACAAGATAAGTAACAATTGGCAGACATAATTTTCTTTTTTCTAGCCTAGTGGTCCTCAATGGTTATAAGTGTGCTGAAAACGTGCTCTAGGCTTTCCCCAAGAACTGCAGTAACAGTTTCTATGCCTTCATCCAAGTCAGCACTTTCCAAACTTCATTTATTCCTCTACTGTCGTGACATTTTTTTTTTTTGCTATATTTATGTACCAAATTATCACATACAGACACACACACACACACACGTATTTATATTTATACACACAGACATATATTTTTTAAACCAACACTTTTTATTTTCATACTCTTTTTCTTTCCAGTTTTGATACAGGGCATGTGCACTCAAAGGAGACAGAGAGAGAGAGAAGGAGAAAGAGAGAGGTCACCTCCCCTCACCACCACCCTCTCCCTGGGGGAGAGGGGGATGGCTATGCTGTACTCCCTTCTCCACCAGGGGGGCAGGGGTGGGTGGATGGGATGGCTATGCTGTACTCCCTTCTCCACCATTCCCATCTTGGAATTTTGAGCATGCACATGAGCCTGGCGTGATTTTCAAGGCACCAGGTTCAGGACATGAATTGAGCAGTTGGGCCATCTAGGATCCAGCTGCTTAAATTCCATACCTCCTGCTGGCCCTATTTTCATATACTTATTTAAAAAGTAAACTCTGTATCACTTCTGTGGATAAAAGTAATTACAGATAAGCACAGTGAAAACAAGGCAGTGTTATTTTCAGACATAAGGGTTTGAGCTGGAGGTCTTTTTTCTTTGTGGGGAAAACAAAAACCACCTTCTTGCTTATCCGGCCATTTCCTTCCATCCCACCCTTCTCCAACACTGAGGGATTAGACATATATATTCATCTATTTAATAATATCCACTGAGCACCTATTATGTGCCAGCCAACTGTCCTATAGACACTGTCTCTACCATCACAGAGCTCAGTCTGGCAGAAGGCTACCCAAAACGAAATACAGGATGCTAAAGGGGGATGTAACTTGGGAAGCTAAGCTGGTAGCTAAAAGTCTCCCTGAGAAACTGAGGTGTCAAGCAAGATCCGAGGGATAAACAGGAATCAAGAACAGAAATGCTTCAGGTAGAAAGCCAGAGGACAGACAGTGCTTCAGGTGGAAAGCAGAGGCATCCCTGGTCAGGTGTTCAGGAAGAGTGTCAAGTGGCAATGTATGGTGGTGGTCAGAGAGTGCTGGGTCTATTTCAGATTTAGGAGGGGAACAGATTGGGCCAAGGCAAAATTAAAGAAGAACTTAGGGAACCGCAGTGGCTAATGTGACCGCAAGGGAGACTTGTCTAAGATGAAGTGGTCAAAGAAGTGAGAGGGTCAGGAAAGTGGTACATCTGTGGGGATGGCCAGTGTTTCCTCAGGATCAAGGCAGTGAGCGTAGAAGAAACTGAACATCTTCTAGAAGAAAAGGCTACAGGCAGACAGTGGCCTTACAAACACTGGCCTTGGGCCAGCATTACTGCTCACGGGACTCTGCCATGTAGTCTCCTTTCAAGGCCTGGCTCTTCCTCCCACACAGTCCAGAGTGTACCTGGATAAAGAAGGCTTCTCTTTGATCCCCTGAAGCCCTCACCACCTACACTACTCCTCTGGTTCAGTACATGCTGCTCTGTACTGCTAGGCAGTCTACCCAGTCTCACCTATGAGACCCCTGAGCACAGGGACTGTATATTTTATTGTTATGTATTCAATAAATATTGATGGAGATTAGTTTAAATTTGATAGAGTATGTGATGGATCTTTATAAATCAAATAGTGCTATGCAACAGGAATCATAATTATTCAAACTGATAAATATTTACTAGCACCCATTATATCAGCTGGTACAAAAATAGCCAATGTAAACTATCTTGAAAGCCCTTAAATGTACCTACCTAAAGGCATTTTTTGAACTACTCCAACCACTCACACTTTCAGTTACCATCTTGTCCTAGAAGA